CAGGTAAATGAAGCAGAGTAAAGTCTCGTGCAGTAATCAGCTTTATTCAGAGCATCAAAAGGATTTATACTCTGAGGGTGAATAAAAATTACTTGAGCAAAGTTCTCATAAGTTCAGGCTGTATACAATCACAAAGACAAGCTGCACATGGCAAAATCATGTTTTTCCATAGACGGCAGCAAACAATGGGTAATACAAAGTAAACTCATTTCTATATGCTATACCTGGGAGGAACATGAAACCACATTCCAAGAACAATTCCACATTTTGAAGGAACTGAGATCACAAGACTCTTTTGTTCTTGAAGTGTTCATATAAATACTCAGAATTCTCCTCACATGGCTCCATTCCTGGATTGTGTTCAGACTGTACACACACACATACACACACACACACACACACACACACACACACTACTCCCCTTCTTCCCAGCCTCCAGGAATCATTATTTTTGTTGCCTTTACCTTTTTTTTCAGAGATTGATTTGGGGTATCTTCAATGTCATATTTTTCTGATACAGAATCACACGATGAATGAAGAGCTCATGATTTACTTAGTCTGGCTGGCCAGCACCTGCTGGGGCTTCTGTTGTCCAGCCTCCCCAGAGGTGGGATTATAGGTTACCTCTCCAGGAGTTTTTATGTGTATTTGGGAGGTTGAATTCAGAGCATCTTGTTTAGGGGACAAGTACTTTACAGATTGAGACTTTCCCACTGTCCCCTGGGTTCTGAGGATAGCATTAAGGTCCTTGTTCTCGAAAGGCAAGTATTTTATAGACTTTATCACTTTAGCAACTGAGCTGGTGTAGCCTAATTGACAAACTCCAGGCCAAAGAGAGACTCTGTTTCAAAGGATGTGTATGGCCTTCTTGAGGATAGTACTGGGGTTCCCTTGTATCCTCAGATAGTGGTACACATGTTCACTCTTGTGCACATGAACACCCCTCGACCCCCACACATTGCAAAAATTACGGCACCTACTTCTGATGGATCACTACAGCCTGTAACCCAAGCTCCAGAGGATCTAATCACTCTCTCTTGAAAGACTTTAAAATGTTTCTTGTTTATTTTTATATGTGTTGGTAGTTTGCCTGCATATATGTCTGTGCACCACCACTTGTATACAATGTTCATTGGGGTCAGAAAAAGGTGTCTGATACATGGGAGCATGAATTACAGATTGTGTGAGCCACCAGAAGTGGATGCGGGGAATCTAACCCATATCCTCTGGAAGAGCAGCCAGTGCTCTTAACTACTGAGCCATCTCTTCAGCCTCAGCATTGTTTTTTTTTTTAAAGTTAAGTTATTGAGTATTATGCTGAGCATGGTGGTATGCAATTTCAGCACTTAGGAGGCGGTCACAGGTTAGGAGTTCAAGGACAGCCTACCCTATGTACCATTTTTTTTTTGTTTACCCCTCTGTAAAACAGCAAAATAACAAACAAAAACCCCAAGCTCTTGAGATTCTTCTTGCTATGGCCTGACCATTGGAGAGGCTCCTGACTTTGTATTGAAAACTTTAGAAGGCCAGCTTCTAAAATCTTTGCTGAGTTCCAAAAAAAGAAGCCACAAATAAGGAAGGAACTAAAATCTGAGGGAAAAAAGAATCTACTTACAACATGATCTTTCTATCCTTGTCTCTTTATTATTCTTCCAGCTACAAAATGTTTCCAGTTATATATCATTACCTCCAGCAATTTTCCAGCACCAGTGGTGTTCTGGGGCTTGGATTCTTTTGCACTGTAAAAGACAGATAAGAATCTTTACATAGGGGGAGTCCCAGCTGTTAGCTCAAGGTAAGAGTGGCTAGTGAATGTCCTGTGAATTCCTTAAGAGGGAAGAAGGTTAATTAAGAGATTGAATCATCAGGGAATTCTAGAAAGAGAGATTAGTGTGCTGTGCTACATTTTTAAGTGGTCAGGTAAAAAGCTAAAAGTTTTTATTTAGTAAAAATCACGAGTAAGGCAACGATTGTCTCTTAACTCAGCAGTCACTTTTCTCCCAGCGAGCATAGGGAGCATGGGATAACCAAACAACCTAGTAAACAACAGGAATGCTGGCAATCAGCTTTTGGTACCTGTCTGCACATTTTGTTATGGTTTCCTGCTAGGAGAAGCTTCTTAGCACCAATTGCTTAAGGCTGTTAAGTATAAGTTTAATTTGCCCAAGAAATGGAACTTGGCCCTTCCAAAGCTCTGGCCTCAGTGGCAGCACAGGCCTTCAGGAAAGATTACTTTTCCCCGAGCAAATGGGCTGATTACATTTGTCATTATCTTCTCAGGGGAAACAGGAAGGAACAGTAAGTCTCTGAGCTAAAGATCTTGGGTAATAAAACAAGAAGTTTGAGAATCTGTTAGTGCAGTGTTAGTTTAGGTTATTCATCTCTATCTGCCAGTGAGGTGAAGCTAGGGCATGCTTATTTTTTCTATCCATCTAGGCAGCTATGAATCAAAAGCTTTGGGTGTGTAGTAATTCTATGTCCTTGGATATCTGGAAATGTCTTGGATGGGATGCTTTTGCTTGGGCCCTAAACACTGACCAAATGCCTGTCAATAAGGATAATTGCAGGAAGGCAGATCTCTGCAATTAGACAGGAAGGGGGAATAAGGACCTGATAGTGGGAAACAGGTCTCACACATAGCTAAGGAATGTAATCAGTAAACTAAGACCTGCTATTGGAAAACAGGTTTCACACATAGCTAGGGAGTGTAATCAGTAAACTCCAAATGCATGGGAGTAATTGTTCCCAGTAAATGATCAGGTAGTGCCTAACTGTGGGAACTAAATCCCAAGTTTGTTGCAAAATGGAATAAGCTACAGGAAGAATCTACAGCAAGAAACAGCCGCTTTCATTCATAAGACTGCAACACCAAATACGACCTTCGTATTTGTTTAAAAATTTCCACGCAGAGGCCCTGGCTTTAGTGGATCATCTCAGGAAATGATGGCTGTATAACTACTGTGTGATCTTGTGGCTTATAGCAACTATGATAGGAATTGTGTTTTATTATTCCCATTTACATCCTTATGCTTGTCATTTCATATCAAATAGGGATAATTAGAGCACAAAGAGTAAGAATAAATATGTTATTTATCATTTGGATGTCAATTCTTTTGTTCTACCCAGACCCCAATCTTGGTAAACAAGGAGAGTGACCTCAAGGACTGACCCCTGGCATTTTCTACTTAACAGCAGTGAGCATCTGTGACAGGTGGAAGCATCAGTTCTTGGGTACCTAGAACACTAACCCTACAAGTGCTACAGTTCTGATGTGATAAAAAAAGGTGGCATTTTTGTTTCCAGCTGGCATGAAAGCATTCAAATAAGCATATGTATCGGATTCCTCAGTCTTTAAAAAAAATAAATAGGTTTGTGGTCCTCACTGGCCTTCCTCAGAATCTATTGCAGTTCTTTGGAGGCCCAGCAAATTGGTATTCCTTAACTTGTAACTGAGGCCCAGGTTACAGTTTTTGATTCAGGGTCTGATGCCTTTGGTCACAAGTTTGTTTGCTTATCTTCCTCCCTTCCTCCCTTCCTTCCCTCCTTCCCTCTTTAGCTTTAGAGCCTGTCCTGGAACTCACTCTATAGACCAGGCTGGCCTCGAACTCACAGAGAACCACCTGCCTCTGCCTGCTGAGTGCCGGAACTAAAGATGTGCACCACCACCACCTAGCTTTAAGTTTTTCACAGCCCTTTGGAGCGCTCCTGGTGAGTAGAATCTGCATGTTCTCTTTTCTGGCTTCTTACGGCTTTTGTGCTTCTTCAGCATCAACTTTCCACCCTGTCTTGTCTCTCATACTGCAGCCTTACTTCTTGCCCTGGCCACTGTGGAACTCTTCAGCAGCTTCATATTCTACTGGCAACAGTTAGCCATCTTTCTTGGCCTGACAACTTCGTCCTGGATGCCCTTGTCCATCACTCTCTGCTGCTGCTTTGTGTTATCAACTCAGCCAGCACTACTAAATGTGGGTAAGAAAAGACCTCTTGAGAAAAGTTGTTTATTGGGCCTGATATTATAACACCACAAGAAAGCATAGGAGAATTTGTCTAATCCAACTCAGTAAGTGGGCTCCAGCAACCTGTTTACACAGCTAGAGCCACTGAGGCGTGTGTTTTGGAACATTAATAGCCTTATAACATAGTAACAGTGACAGAAGTTCCCTTCCTTGAACATCAAGGGAAGTGCACTCTCTCTGGTCTAGGTAGAAGCAGTTTCAGGGTCATCTAAGTTTCACCAAGGCTTGTGATAGCGAAACAACTGATAGAGTTTCAGATAACCCTGTGTACATTCAGGATTCTTATTGATCTCAGATATATTTTGTGTAAGAAAACCTACTGTGGGCCACCAGACTACATTGGCGAAGAAGTCTGGCATAAGTTCCTTGAAGTAGGGCTGGAGAGATGACTCAGAGGTTAAGAGCACTGACTGTTCTTCCAGAGGTCCTGAGTTCAATTCCCAGCAACTGCATGGTGGCTCACAACCACCTTGAATGAGAGTGCCCTCTGCTGGCTTGAGGGCAGAAGACTGTATAGACTGTATACATAATAAATAAATAAAATCTTAAAAAAAAAGATGTGCTTTGTTCCACTACAAATCATATCTTTTAAAAAAAAGTTCCTTGAAGTAGTGATCCAACAGGCTTTAAAAACAGAATAAAGACAAAAATATCCTGCTGGAAATTTTCCTCCAGACCTTGGATATTCCTAGTTTGGTCCCTTGTGCAGCCACTTGGTAGAATTGAGCACCGTGCAAGCACAAACCAGTCTTTTGTTTGTTTGGTTAGTTGAGAGTGTTTCCCATACAATGGAAACATCGAAGTTAGGGAATCTGCCTTACCCAGCTACAAGGTGCAGCCTATGATCTTGAGTTAGGTCAACACAATGCAGAAATTTGCTGGTCTGAATATTTGACATATTTGTGCGCACTTTCATTTTGCAAAGAACTCATTTCATACCAAGGAATTGTGCACATACCATAAAATTTTAATCCTTATGAATTATGCAGCCTTCTGCTTTATAAGCCAGAAAATCAGTGCTATTGCCAAGTAATGTAAGTGAGTGATTCTCAAACTTCTCCAAGATTTTGAATCAGCCGCAAAGCTAGTTAAAGCATAGGACACTGGGTCCCCTACAAAGAGAAATGCTAATACTACTGAGCTTAGGATCACACTAAGAGATGTTATGTAAACCAGTCTGACCTAAGTGAACCTTAATGTCTAACCAAAGCCCCTGGCTGTAATGCTTTGGCTTTGGTCAGAATGCTCTGCTTCATTATCAAAATAAAAAAAAAAAAACTTATTTGTGCGTGCGTGCGTGCGTGTGTGTGTGTGTGTGTGTGTGTGTGTGTGTGTTTGTGTGTGTGTAGGAGAATGCACACATGTGGGTATTCACAATTTGTGTGTTACCACAGGGAAAGTGTGGTGGTCAGAAGACAAACTTTAGGAGCCCAGTTCTTGTTATAAGTTAAAAAGCAGACAATAGAGAAAGGCACCATGTGACAGAGCTCACATGGTGGGTTTTTTTTTTTAATTAGGGGAAAAGCAATGGGAAAAGGAGGGGGAGGGAGACCAGTCTCTCAGGACAGGAGCAGCAGAAAGGAAAAGAGAGGCAGATAGAGGGAGTGGGGAGACAGAGAGACAGGCAGAGAGGCCCTTCAGGCCCGGAGGGAAGCAGAGAGGGACCAGAGAGAGAGGGGGAGACCAGAGAGAGACAGACAGACAGACAGAGACAGAGAGAGAGAGAGAGAGAGAGAGAGAGAGAGCACAAACAAAGATGGGAAGTGGGCAAGGCTCTTTAAAAGGGAACATAGTGACTGTGCACAGGTGGCACTCTTAGTGGCTGTAGTTGAGGCCATATCCTGTCAGAACCCCAAGGGCAGTCCAGTACAGATGCCTAAATACTAACAGTCCTGCCTTTAAAAGAAACAAACAAAAACCTTCTTTTGGGCTGGAAAGATGGCTTAGCAATTAAGAGTACTTAATGCTCTTGCAAAAGACCTGAGTGTGATTCTCAGCATTTGAATGGTGGCTTAACCATCTGAAACTATAGTTCCAAAGAATCTGATGTTCTATTCTGGCATCTTTGGGCACTGGGAATGCAAATGGTATAGAAACATACATTTAAATTTAATGTATGTGGTCATTTTGCCTGCATGTATATTTATACACCATGTGCATGCCTGGAAATCCAGAAGAGGACATTGGATCACCTGGGATTGGAATTAACAACTGTTTGCAAGTCACCATGTGGATGCTTATGGGTCCTTCACAAGAGCAGCTGGTGCACATAATCTCTGAACCATCTCTCTAGCTCTCTTCTTCTACCTTTATGTAGATATGGGACTAGGCTATTTTTCAGGCCATTAATGGATTTTTTTAAAAATGAAACTGAGTACATTTAGAGTTGTATCCAAAATTGGGGAGTGAAAAATTCTCAGTATTTTTGGCCTTGCAAATATCAGTTTTACAACTCATAGAAGAGATTATATGCACCTGCAGATTTAGGTGTAGACTAGGAGGAACGGAGGCAGGGGGACACAGAATTTGAGCTACTAACAGTCTGGGAAGTCACCTTTTTCCTTAGGACTTCTTCTCAGGTAAAGGAAGTTCTTTGATTATGACACAAATAATGAATATGAATATGAAGCAAAGTAAGTGAGCTTATTTGCCAAGTGTGTAGATAGAAAGGCATAGGGAAAAGACAGTATATAATCCTGAGACGCATGTGGGCTTCTCAAGTGAAAGTTGCTCTTATGTGTCTTTAAAATGACTATCTTTATTTTTTAGTTTGTTTGTTCTTGGTATTTATATGCCTTTACTCCTTAGCAAATGAGCCCAACATAAAGCCTTCACATATACACAATAAATGTCTTCAGCAATGGGGCCTTGCTGTCAGTGGGATTCCCATGGGACCCCTTTGGCCAACAACTCAGTTAGATATAACACAGTCCTAGTACTACAAGCCTTCATTGGGTAACAAGAGATGGGATCTGTCTCCCCTATTATTTGCCAATTTCATTCAGATCACTTTCAATATATATATATTGTGTATTTATACATACATACATACATACATATGTATTTTAGTGAGTTTCTACTGTATTAGGTTTCCATACCACCCCTCAAATGCCCCTTAATTTTAGTTATTTCTCTCTCTATTCCCTCACACAACTCCCTCTCCCTTCCCCCTCTCTACATGCTCCTCCCATTGTAAATGGCCTTTCCATCCATATCTATGTTATTTACCTTTCCTAATGAGATCTAACGCTTCCCTCTAGTCCCTCACTCTATACCTACCTTCTTTGGCTCTAGGGATTGTAGCTTGGTTATCATTGACTTAACAGCTCAATATCCACATGTACGTGAATACATAACCATATTTATCTTTCTAGGTCTGGTATATTTCACTTAGAATGATTATTTCGAGTTCCATCCATCTGCCTGAAAATTTGATGTCATTTTTATTTTTTATTTTATTTTTTATTCTTTTATTCAAATTAGGAACAAGCTTGTTTCAGATGTCAATCCCTTCTCCCTCTCCCGCGCCCCCCCCCAACATTCCCCCTGCCCCTAGCCATCCCCCTTCCACTCCCCAGGCAGGGTAAGGCCCTCAAAAGGGGCTCCCCAAAGTCTACCACATCTTGATGTCATTTTTTAAAAAATGACTTAGCAATACTCCATTGTGTAAATGTACCACATTTTCTTTATTGATTTTTCTGTTGAGGGATATCTGGGTTGTTTCTAATTTCTGCCTATTATAAACAGAGCAATAATGAACATGGTTGAGCAAGTGTTGTTGTGGTAGAATGAAGCATCCTTTGGGTATATGCCTAAGAGTGGTATAGCTGGATCTTTTTTTAAATTTTATTTATTTATTATGTATACAACATTTTGCTTCCATGTATATCTGCACACCAGAAGAGGGCACCAAGTCTCATAATGGATGGTTGTGAGCCACCATGTGGTTGCTGGGAATTGAACTCAGAACCTTTGGAAGAGTAGTTAGTGCTCTTAACCTCTGAGCCATCTCTCCAGCCCGGTATAGCTGGATCTTGAGGTAAATTGATTCCCATAATCTTCTCGAGGAACTGCCACTTTGATTTCCATGGTGTCTTATGAATTTGCACTCCCGCCAGCAATGTATGAGTGTTTCTCTTAATCCACATCCTCTCCAGCATGAGCTGTCACTTGTTTTGTTGATCTTAGCCATCCTGACAGGTGTAACATGAAATCTCAAGGTAGTTTTGATTTGTATTTTCCTGATGACTGTTGAACATTTCTTTAAGTATTTCTCAACCATTTGTGTTTCTTCTTTTGAGAATTCTGTTTACATCTGTACCCCATTTTTAATTAGGTTATTTATTTTCTTGATATCTAGTTTCTTGTATTTGTATATTTTGGATATTATTACTCTATTGAATGTGGAGTTGGTAAATTTTTTTCCCTATTTTTTAGGCTGCTGCTTTGTCCCATTGACAGTGTTCTGTTGCCTTACAGAAGCTTCTCAGTTTCATGAAGTCCCATTTATTAATTGTTGATTTTAGTGCCTG